TATTTCGAGTTTGTCCAAACTATCATCAAAATATCAACTTTTCATGAATTGAGAGTACTGATGTACTTAATTTCAATTAAGGCTATGTTTTGGACCATATTTAGCACAATTTATTTTTTATCTCGAAAACAGATAGAGATAGGTATAGGACATTACTAACAAAAAAGTATTGAAATACTAGAGCGGTTCCAAAAATGTATTAATATACGGGGTGTTCCATTTAAAAAAATATAATTGCTAGGACTTTTTGATAGAAGTGGCAACACCGCAACGCTGAAAATATTTTAGATCGATAGAACAGGTAAGGAAATGTGAGAAGTGAAATTTTCAGAAAAAACATGCTTTGCGTTTTCCAGAAACGTCTAACCTACCATCGACCGTGAGTCACGCTGTATATATTTGAATCTGACACAAACCTACCCGTATGTCAATCCTGAGCGGTTGCACGCCCTCCTTGTCCTGCAATCGGATCTTCTTCAGCGGTTGCTGCCCCCCGCTGCTCTGGAGTCCTCCGCCGTCGACGCACACCCCCCCCGCCTGTATGGTCGGCTGATGGTCTCGGGGCCTGCCTGGACCATATTCCGGATGCAGCAGTGATATTCTATTGTGCCTGTAGTCCCGGAACACGCCGGTATGGAGAGGGGGCAGTGGCGGAGCGGTCGACACCACCACCGGAGGCGGCTGCTGGGGGTATCTCTGGGATACGGCAGCGGCGGGGTTGATGCTGGCCGCTGTCGCGGTAGGTTGCTGCTGGTGAGGCGACGAAGGGTACGGGTAGCGGGCCGTCGATATGGGGGACCTGGAGGGCTTGTATATGTCAACAGACGTATGCGATGGTTGGCTGTGGTTTGGTCTGGAAGGAAAAAAAAAACAGGTGTTATTTATTATAGAAATGTATCATTTGAAAGGTTATACAAATTACAGCAAGTTACTCAAACGATTACATAATGGTAGGCTACCCCTCTTTCTATCTCAGAAATAATATCTCGGTCAGAAACATCTCAGTAAAAAACATCAGAAGACATTACCCGGCGCTCTGCCGTCAAAAGCAGCCACCTGGCGCTCTTCTGTCAAAAGCAACCACCTGGCGGCACCTGCTATCATACGTCAAAGCGGTCATTTAATGTCAGAAGCGATCATTTAACGTCAGAAGCGATCATTTAACGTCAGAAGCGGCCATTTAACGTCAAAAGCGGCCATTTGACTTCAAAAACGACCATTTGACGCCAAAAGCAGCCATTGACTTAAAAAACGGTCATTTGACTCCAAAAGCGGTCATTTGACTTCAAAAGTGGTCACCTGGCGCTCTGCCGTCAAAAACGGCCACCTGGCGCTCTTCTGTCAAAAGCAACCACCTGGCGGCAACTGCTATCATACGTCAAAGCGGTCATTCAACGTCAGAAGCGATCATTTAACGTCAGAAGCGGCTATTTGACTTAAAAAACGACCATTTGACGCCAAAAGCGACCATTTGACTTCAAAAACGGTATTTGACTCCAAAAACGACCATTTGACTTCAAAAATGGCTACCTGGCGCTCTGCCGTCAAAAGCAACCACGTGGCGGCACCTGCTATCATACGTCAAAGAGGCCATTTAACGTCAGAAGCGGTCATTTAACGTCAGAAGCGGTCATTTAACGTCAAAAGCGGCTATTCGACTTCAAAAACGGTCATTTGACTCCAAAAGCGGCCATTTGACTTCAAAAGCGGCCACATGGCGCTATGCTGTCAAAAGCAACCACCTTGCGACACCAAAGCGGCCATTTAACGTCAGAAGAGACCATTTGACGTCAGAAGCGGTAAATTTGACGTCAGAAGCGGCCAATTTAACGTCAGAAGTGGCCAATTTGGCATCAAAAACGGGTATATGAAGCTCAAGGAGCGGTCATTGACGTCAAAAACGGCCGTTTCGAAAATGCGCGCCAAGCAGACTTGTGACGTCAACTTAAGACGATGAATACGGACACTAATTTGCAATTATTCATTATAATTGAAAATAATGAATATAAAGTTTATTCAAATCATAGTGAAACCTACTTCGTAATATTCGATTCAAAAACAAGTACAAGTATTTTTTACCTTTCTTTGTCCTCTCTCTGCTTCCTCAGTTCTGGAAAAACTTTCTCGAAAAATTCCCTATTTTTTACGTCCTTTGCTTTTCGCTTCGTGCTACATTCTATTTTGTCGACTTTCCTCAACCAATCTTGCATCATTTTGCTGTAAGTCTCAGTCAGAAATTTGTTCCTTGTCTCGTTTTCCTTGTGCTTCTGCTTAAAGTACTCCAACAGCCTTCTTTTGAAAGACACGTGCTTCCTTTTGTTGTCCTGATAGGCGGTCGCATCACTGGGTTGGTTGTAGAGAGGCCACTCGACTTTCTGGCCAAGGGAATCCAGTTGAGAGTGAGCATTTTGGGCTCTTTTTCTGTTCTCCGCATAGATTTTCTGCAGAGAAATAAATTCAGAAATGAGAAGAAAAAATATGTCTTATAAAGGTGTGATTATGCATATAATAAAAAAATTATGTCAAAGATGATTAACATTCATAGAATCTTCACAATAAATTCCATTCAAGGCGTATTTCGCTACACGGTGGCTTCTTCAGTGACACTGGTCTTCTATTGGTATTCTAGAATGTCTTTTATATAAGTTTGTGCTGAAAAAAAGTTGCTGGACCTTGAAGAAAATCCACAAATTGGTCAGTGGGTTGGGCTACCTACCGGGCGCGTCCCCAACTGGCGGATAGGGGAACGGTCAGGGGACTAGAGGCCCTGTCCGGAAAGCCAATGTGGCCTCACGGACGGGGTCGCCGGACTCCTTTCTGGTCAGTGGCAGAAATAAGTAGGGTGAGGGGAACTAAAACCCCCAAAAGCCTGGGCCCGGAACTACCATGTTTTGCGGCTACGGTGAGCCCGAAACGGTGGAACACGTGATAGAACGATGCATGGATGGAAATAGGACTGGATGGCGTGAATGGAAAGAATTGAGAGAGAATTGAAAGAATAGTGAATGGAAAAGGTTTGTCAATGAATGGGCGGAAAGTGTGGTGAGGGATGAAAGAGAAGGGTAAAAGGCAGGCTGTTAGCGTGGTGCCACGGATCTGGAGTGCCAAGGATCAGGAGTGCTGACGGCGGTCTCCCCCAATGGTGGCGGCCATGGATATTGTTCTGACATCGGGCCATGTACACAAACAACAAAAGACATGTTTATTTATTTTGATCATCTTCTACCCCGCCAATTTGGAGGAGTAGGGGTTCCCTAGACAGCGGTGGCGATGGATAGATGGAAAATGCTCCATTGAAAGGCCACCTACCACCTGAATGGGGTTAGCCAAAGTGATATACACCGTCCGCCACTCGCGATGGAACACCCCATTTTTAGCGCAAAATAATTCGCTTCCAATACCTGAACCCCTTCATTCTTCATCCATTTTGAGCCTATCTGAGGAAAATGTCACAACACCACATTCTCAGATTATCGAGATAGTGTGAAGCAGTGTATGAAAAAGTATCGATGGCGGCATCTATTATAACTGAAGAAGATTATTCGTAAAACTAATTCTGGTTGCTGAACATCCAAATTATATCCCAACCAGAAGTGAGAGCTTTCGATTGATGAGCAAAAACTATTCGTTGATTTTCTCGAAAATGCATTCTTCGATGTGTTGGAAGAACTACCTTTGGATGTGAGACACATTCGAATATTACGGAAGATACGGGGGTGTTTCCATAAGAAGTGAGACAAATTCAAGAAGTGAGACAAATTCGGATTTTTCAGGACTGAAATTTTTTGAGGAAAAAAGTGTAATCGTAGTAAGTTGGTAGTCCTGATCATGAATATGAAGGAATTTTGAGCCTATTTTGCCCCTAATATGTTTTACCGTAAAAATGGGGTGTTCCATGGCGAGTGGCGAACAGTGTATATCACTTTGGCCAACCCCATTCAGGTGGTAAGTGCATTTTCAGCATTTCCATCAGTTTTGCGAGTTTCATCGTTCCACCTCGAATATTACGGAAGATACGAATTTTAAAACCATTACTTGGTAACACCACTATAGCTCCTTTTCGTCACGATCAATCTTATTGGTTGGCAAACAGTTGATATAAAAAAAAACTGTGGATTATTTTCATCTGTAAAAAACTGTAAAAAACTGTTTTTCCGTTAACCAGTTAACTAGGTCTTACCGTTCGAAGTGCGACTCCTATCACGGAAAACCAAGCACACGATATTTGAAGAGTTTCATTCTCAACCAGACACTGAATCACAAAGTCTACTTCTCATGAACACTCACCTGTGGCAAACTCTGATGTTTTGGAGCCGTCACTTCCTCGACCTCCGATTTGATGACTGGCTTGTTGGCGATTTCCTCCAGCTCCGACTGTTTTTTCTTCAATATCGTTATCTGCGACTCAGCCTTGGCAATCTCTCTGTCGACCTTTCCGATCTGCTGGATCAATTCGTCCTTCGTCGTCCGAAAAGCCTGATCGTCCTGATTCAGCTGATCGGGCAGTGTGGGTGAAATAGCTTCCACTTGCGGGATATACGTTCCCGGCTGTTCCTTAGGACAACATATCAGAATTGAAATAAAGAGAAAATTCTATTGACGAGTGATAAACATCATTCATGAACTATTCATTATAGGTGTAAAAAATTTGACAGATTATACAGTTTTCTTTTTCAAATCTATATCATTATATTTGGTGTTTTTTTCATTTTTTGAGAAGTATAGGATTTGATTTTCAAAACGACACAAAAATTTTTAAAAAATTGATGAACGATCTATATAATTTAATGTTTGAAGATGATTTCATGCAAAAGTTGTCCTGACTCCGCTTTAGATGGCCCATGCGCATGGTTCAATTTTGGCACACTCTCTCTAACATATCGACCGGTATTTCACGTATAAATGATTCAATATTAGCTTCCAGAGCGTCAGTCGTTGCTGGTTCATCCCTGTAGACATGAACCTTAACATGACCCCACAAGAAATAATCCAAAGGCGTTAAATCACACGATAAACTGAACAAGTTTGACAATGACACAAGACACGATTCACGCGTGATCTGTCAAAAACACTGTCAAAAAGATTCCAGCAAAGAAAGCAAAGCAAAGAAAAGATTCCACTCAAATATACTACCCTTATGTAACATAAATTAACATTGATTTCGAAGAACTGAATACTACCGATTGGTCAACAATAATTTCTCCAACAATCAAGTAGTCGCTGTTATTTGAGGCAATCTTCAAGTTGACCTTCAATTAAACATTATCGAACTCGAGATATTTCAAATTATCGGCCCATCTCTATTATTTGCAACTTTGCAAACGTTTTTGAGATTCTGCTGGAGCGAGTTATATATCGGCATGTTAGTTGCAGTATAAACCAACACGGTTTTTTGAAAAATCGTTCAACGGTCACCAATCTTCTGACAATAACCCAACATATTGCTGAATCTATTGACAATAGGGCCTAAACTGATGTTATTTATACACTTAAGGCCTTCGACAGGCTTGACCATGGCATTCTACTAAACAAACTAGTAGCCTTTGGATTATCTCCATCCTTAATCGCACTCTTTCAGTCCTATCTACGGAATTGAAAACAATATGTACAGCTCAATGGTTTCAAATCTACCGAATACAGTGCTTCTTCCGGTGTTCCACAAGGTTCAAATCTGGGACCGTTGCTCTTCAATATATTCATTAATGATATTGCAGATGTAATAGATGTGTATTTCCTTTTATACGCCGAAGATCTAAAACTATACTGCCTCGTTGAGAACATAGATGATCGCGTGAACCACCAGCTACAAAAACACTTTAAAACGGACGAAGCTTTTGAAACTATTCGAAAAATCTCCACACACTTATGTTAGAGGGAGTTCTTCCAATATTCAAGGAATTTTATTGTTTCACTGACAATTTAGTTCAGCTTTAAACCGTAAGATGTCAGCGACGTGTATTAATGTTACTCGTGTGCAGCATTCATCACATTCACTTTAATTACCGTATTCATGGCTGTGAATTAGATAGTTAATTATGTATAATATTTATTCCAATAGTAAAATATCAACTCAAAATGGTAATACTTGTAATTCATGTACGGCTGAATATTACATGGCCAAAGCTGAATAGCCTGATATAATTATTTCAACAAGATATTCATTCAAATGGGTTGGAAACTGAATACATTAATTTTAAATTTCATCAACCTGGCATAGTCCCAGTCCAGAAATTGTTAAAAAGAGGATATTTGGTTTATTTAAAAGAAGTAAAGCGACTAGACGATAATGAACAACAAACTATTCGTAGAAGAAAATAGTTAGACGAGCAAATGCTTAGAAATGGTTGAAGACTCAAATAAACTTTCATAATGATAGATTGTGTGGACCGGGGTACGTATTATATGAAACAACGATAATGGTGGACACTTGTCAAATGTCAAACACTCTTTCAGTCTCACTTCGCAATACTTTTGCGAGTTCTGGGACTTGGAAAAGAAAACTTTTCTTTAGCGCCATGTCAAACTCGATTTCGATACGATAACTTTTTTGGTAGAACGTCCAGAATTGTTCTCACAAACAAAACTCTTTTCAGAATAAAAACCACATAAATGACGCCAATTATATGAAAAATTTGATATGACTATCAGTTTCCAACAAAGAAAACACAAAAACTTTCTATAATACATACAAAACATACAAATTTTCCCGCACTATGAACCATATTCATGACGCCATCGCCAGAAAAGTGGACACTTTTGGCAAGGTTAGGTTAACCTCATTGAACATTTCAGAATGCGGAAACGAAAAATATAATGGAAGAAATATTATGTTACCTCGGATAGTTGGCAACAGCAGACGTTGAAGGGTTTCGAATTCATCACTAAACACATCACTTCAAATTTCATTCGAAGATAAACAGTAACGAGAAACTGCAAGGAAATTGCATGGTAACGAGATCGGATAACAAAAGACGCCTAGAAACTTTTCCTGGCTCGAAGTTATAACGGGTGTGTAAAAAGAAGTGATTATTATTTCGGGATAGAGTTCCGTTTTTTGTAAACTTGATACAAAACAAACAGAAATCCACTTGATCTGTAGAAAATCTTAGAGCTTGGTTTCCAAGCAAATCTATTGAACATACTTTTGATGATTGTCAGACCAAAGATCACGTAATGGGGTCTCGGAACTCGGAACATAAGTAAACAGAACAGCACGCCTCTGAAATATGTCATCTTTGTTTGTCTCATACAGGTAACAGATTCTTTGTCCTTTATCACCTATAACCGATGTTGCCAAATGGTTAAATAGAAACGAATCCCTTTAAATGTTGAATGCATTATTTCCTTCCTCTTTTTTAAGTATTTAAATAATTTTTAAAAGAAAAAGGTTGAAATGATGAGTTTGAAATGCGTTGTTTCAGAGCTCTTTTATGAAAACTACTTGATTTTCGTCAGTAGGAACATTCCCCATTGCCTGTTTTATATAGAACGAAGCTATCTACTCAATAGAGACTTGCTTGTCTGCTTATCTCCGGTGCCATTTGCCATCCATACATACTTCCTCATTACATTTTTCTAGATGGAGAGAGAAACTAAATGGACAACGTAAAGAATTGTCCATATTGAAAAAAACAGGCGTCTGGGAAGCTTGGCACTGAAACTGGCATCCTGAGTATGACCTCTGACCAATTCCTGCAACAGTCTACTAGGGCCTGCCATACACAGTCCTAATTCCGAGTATGGAGAGCTGGATCTTTTGGGAGGAGGAAACACTAAAAACATTTAGCTACTGGTTCACATATGAATCAAAAACACCTTTAGGTTCTGGTGCGGGAATATACAGTCGGAGATCTAGTCCAAAAATTCAAACCTACCCGTATTTCAAGCTGATATCTACGACACTGATTCATGTGTGGAGATACGGGGAAAACCAATCTTTGGAATCGATAGGAATATCAACAAATGGCCAAGCTGCTTTGATACTTTTTCTCCTCAATAGAAAGACTTAACAAATTAGCTCTGGTTTGAATTTTGGCTCACACTGGCTTGGATATTCGTTGGTAAAAAAACTACATTATTCCATCCAATACTTTACGACTATCAAATTTTTCAACTAACCTGATGATTTCCTGGGCTGATTCGACCTCCATCTTCAGGCTCGTAGTTCCGTCCACCACAACGCTCTTCTGCTTCTGCCCGTCCAAAATTACAGCCGCGCCGTCTTTACCGCTGCCGGTTCCGCAACCGCCGACCTCTTCGAAGTAACTGCTCTTCGCCATGTACTCGTCCATCGAACCAAACCCCAAAAAAGTCTTCGGTTTCACGTCTTCCGTAACTGTGTCCACCTCCATCGGAGTCGATTCTTTATCGTTCATCGTCGTCACGGTCACGGACGCCGAAACGACGACGGACGGCGTCGTCGTCGCCGTGGACGCCGTCACGATCGCGCCACTACTGCTAGTCGTAATCACAGATGTACTAGAAGAAGATATACAGTTCGATATCGCGGTTGTCGGGGTAGTAGTCACTCCAGAAACTGTCGGTGTCATCGAACCACCGACCACGGTTTTATCGGACGTTGAAACGGCCGACGGTGGCGGCGTAGACGGCAGTACGGAGGTTGTCGTCGCCGGGCTTGACGTGGACGTGGTGGTGGTAGTCGTCGTAACGGTCGACGGAGGGCTGTCGACAGACACTGCGGTGCTGGGAGTGGGTGCGGATGTTGCTGGCGGTGTCGTCGACGTCGGATGTTCCAACGGCTGATTCGGATCTCGAGACTGTTGATTTCCCGTTTTAGCCTGTTGTTCTCTTTGAAGTCGAGTTGTTACGCCTGAAAGTGGAACGAAACAATGTATAAGTTTGATCTTGGCCGTGAGATATTTTAGTAGAAACAGAAGCAAGTCTCCAGATTGAACCCTGCGAAGCTTCAGCCACCGTATTCACCAGATTTATCCTTCTGCGACGTTTTCCTTTTCCCAGAATTGAAGAGGCTGATAAAAGAACGGCGTTTTGCGACGATTCACGAGATAAAAACCGAATCGCTGAGGGAGCTCACAGACATACCAAAAACTGCTTCGAGGATTGGAAAAAAAGCTGACCCAAGTGTATTATATCTGAAGGGGGACTACTTTGAAGGGAAAAAACAGAAAATAAATATTAGAAGTCACCTCATTATTTGAATAGACCTCGTATATAGTACAAATTCTGAATTTTAGATGGTTCTCTAAATTGGTAGGTCCTCTGCACAACTCAATTTTCAAACTTGAATCATTTCGAAAGAGAAGCAGTTTTCTATATTGAAATTCGGATTATTTCATCCACAAACTCATGTATGAAAAATCAATAATCACCAGAGGTTCCGCCTCTAGATAACAGAGGGAACTAAAGTGAAAAGCTGTAGGTAACATTACCAGAAAGGATTCCTGTAACTTCGCCTGACTGAACCACAGATGGCCAAGAGTAGAATTCATTATTATTTCGAAGCTGTAATAGTATCCAATCATTGATTATACAATGGAGGAAGCAACCTTATCAATACAAAAATTGAGATAAACTCAAACTGTTCATCAACGAAATGTTTGTCAATTATTTCAAAATTTATATTGTAGCACTAGGAGGATTATAAACAATTTGATGAAATGAATAAGCTTATATATTTTTTTGTTATTGACATTTAATTGCCACTCATAATTTTCAAAACACACCTCCTAAAATTTGCTATAAAATCGTCAAAAGCGGTCTTTTATGTCAAAAACAGCCATTTGACTGCAAAACCGGTCATTTTACGTCAAAAGCGACCATTTGACGTCAAAAGCGACTATTTGACGTCAAAAGCGACTATTTGACGTCAAAAGCGACTATTTGACGTCAAAAGCGACTATTTGACGTCAAAAGCGACCAGTTTTCACCAAAAACAGCCATTTTAGGTCATTTTACGTCAGAAGCGGTCTTTTACGTCAAAAGTGGTCATTTTACGTCAAAAGCGACCAATTTGCCGTCAAAGGCGACAATTTGCCGTCAAAAACGGCCATTTGATGTCAAAAGCGGTCGTTTTACGTCAAATGCGACTATTTGACATCAAAAGTGACTATTTGACGTCAAAAGCGACTATTTGCCGTCAAAAACAGCCATTTGATGTCAACAGCGACCATTTGACGTCAAAACTGTTAGGCAATAAACGCTATTATTATTATTAAAAGCGACTATTTGCCGTCAAAAGCGGTCATTTTACGTCAAAAGCAACAATTTGCCGTCAAAAACGGCCATATGATGTTAAAAGCGTCATTTTACGTCAAGAGCGACCATTCAACGTGAAAAGCGGGCATTTGGTGTCAAAAACGGTCGTTTTTGAACAACCCGTTTTTTGAAAAAAATATTTATTATCTTTTTTAGATATAATAAGTTTCAAATTATTCATCCGAGAATTTATTTTGGTGTTACACAAAAATATCATCACATAGACAACAGCGCGTCATTCTAAAATAAAAAAATTTGTTCAAAGATAAAAGTCTACATTTCCATAGCAACCCTCGTGCTTGACAGTACGATTAACGTTTTTCACTGGAAAAATTAACAAAGAGTATTTTTGTCTCTCCATTTCGCAATCAGAAAATAATCAATAAATGTTTACCTGAAGTCAAGATGTCCACAACGGAAGCATTCCCGCTATTGCTAACCTTCTGCGTGTTATTCCTCGAGCTCCTCGTTCGCTGCCTAGCCTTCCTAAATAATTGTTTATAATTTTCAGTTTTTTTACTCAAATAGTAGTAATGTACACAGTCGGACACCGATTTTCTATCTAAATATGACGCTATACAACCGAAGTTCTTCGGATGCTGAAGATATTTCTCCTTGAATATTTCTTTTTCACTGGCAGTCCACACATTTAAAAACCGTCTGCTCTTATAGACGACGTCCATATCTTCGACGAAACCGTTGTTGTCGTCGTATTTGATCCGCTTCGCCTTCTTATCGAAAAGAATCGGAGGTATGACTGCATAGCTACGCATTTTCTTATCTTCCAGAGCTTGCTCCTGAAGATTATCCATAATTTCTTCCATATCAGCTTCTGACTTCACTCGAGACCCCACTCTGTTGAACCTGTAAATGATCGAAATATTATTATACTTGTGAAAATCTGTTGTTTCAATGAAGATAATTATAATAGAAAAAAATGGCCATTTTGAAGATGCGCACTAAACAGACATTTGATGTCCACCAATCAGAAAGCTTGAAGAATTTAGAAGTAAAGTTCACTGTATATAAGTTTTTGTTAGGAAGATACGAATGATGCTGTAATGATGAATAAAAAGGTTTGTTCAACACTGAGTAAAATTAACGGCCATTTGACGCCAAAAACGGACATTTGACGCCAAAAACAGTCATTTGACTCCAAAAATGGTCATTTGACTCCATAAGCGGCCATTTGACTTCAAAAGTGGTCACCCGGCGTTCTGCCGTCAAAAGCAGCCACCTGGCGCTCTTCTGTCAAAAGCAACCACCTGGCGGCACCTGCTATCATACGTCAAAGCGGTCATTCAACGTCAGAAGCGATCATTTAACGTCAGAAGCGGCCATTTAACGTCAAAAGCGGCTATTTGACTTTAAAAACGACCATTTGACGCCAAAAGCGGTCATTTGACTTCAAAAACGGTCATTTGACTCCAAAAGCGGTCATTTGACTTCAAAAGTGACCACCCGGCGCTCTGTCATCAAAAGCGGCCACCAGACGCTATGCTGTCAAAAGCAACCACCTGACGTACCTGCTATCATACGTCAAAGCGGCCATTTAACGTCAGAACCGGTCATTTAACGTCAAAAGCGGCTATTTGACTTAAAAAACGACCATTTGACGCCAAAAGCGACCATTTGACGCCAAAAGCGGCCATTTGACCTCAAAAACGGTCATTTGACTCCAAAAGCGGTCATTTGACTCCAAAAGCGGTCATTTGACTCCAAAAGTGGTCACCCGGCGCTCTGCCGTCAAAAGCGGCCACATGGCGCTCTGCTGTTAAAAGCAACCATCTTGCGGCATCTACTATCATACGTCAAAGCGGCCATTGAACGTCAAAAGCGATCATTTAACGTCAGAAGCGGTCATTTAACGTCTAAATCAGCAAATTGACATCAAAAACGACCATTTAACGCCAAAAGCGGCCATTTGACTTCAAAAACGGTCATTTGACTCCAAATACGATCATTTGACTTCAAAATTGGCCACGTGGCGCTCTACCGTCAAAAGCGGCCACATGGCGCTCTGCTGTCAAAAGCAACCACCTTGCGGCACCAAAGCGGACATTTAACGTCAGAAGAAACCATTTGACGACAGAAGCGGTAAATTTGACGTCAGAAGCGGCCAATTTAACGTCAGAAGTGGCCAATTTGGCTTCAAAAACGGCTATATGAAGCTCAAGGAGCGGTCATTTGACGTCAAAAACGGCCGTTTCGAAAATGCGTGCCAAGCAGACTTGTGACGTCAACTTAAGACGATGAATACGGACACTAATTTGCAATTATTCATTATAATTGAAAATAATGAATATAAAGTTCATTCAAATCATAGTGAAACCTACTTCGTAATATTCGATTAAAAAACAATTAGTTGTGTTTCTGTCCCGTTTCATAAAACACGGTACAAGTATTTTTTACCTTTCTTTGTCCTCTCTCTGCTTCCTCAGTTCTGGAAAAACTTTCTCGAAAAATTCCCTATTTTTTACGTCCTTTGCTTTTCGCTTCGTGCTACATTCTATTTTGTCGACTTTCCTCAACCAATCTTGCATCATTTTGCTGTAAGTCTCAGTCAGAAATTTGTTCCTTGTCTCGTTTTCCTTGTGCTTCTGCTTAAAGTACTCCAACAGCCTTCTTTTGAAAGACACGTGCTTCCTTTTGTTGTCCTGATAGGCGGTCGCATCACTGGGTTGGTTGTAGAGAGGCCACTCGACTTTCTGGCCAAGGGAATCCAGTTGAGAGTGAGCATTTTGGGCTCTTTTTCTGTTCTCCGCATAGATTTTCTGCAGAGAAATAAATTCAGAAATGAGAAGAAAAAATATGTCTTATAAAGGTGTGATTATGCATATAATGAAAAAATTATGTCAAAGATGATTAACATTCATAGAATCTTCACAATAAATTCCATTCAAGGCGTATTTCGCTACACGGTGGCTTCTTCAGTGTCACTGGTCTTCTACTGGTATTCTAGAATGTCTTTTATATAAGTTTGTGCTGAAAAAAAGTTGCTGGACCTTGAAGCCAGCTAATTTCCGTTGATGTGTTTGCGCCAGACCATTGCCACATCATAAAAAACTCTTCCATCAAATTTGTATGCGCATTATGTGCTCCGATAGCAGCCATTGTTCATTTTTGTGTTTTTTTGGAATACTAACTGTGATCAAACTTGAATTTGAGAATAGTATCAATCGCGACGGTTAGAACTTTGGGGTATATAGCTAAATAAGTATATATTCGTGTTATGTTTTCGATTGTCTATTATTTCTTCAATATAAATCATATTCAGGTCAGGTTCACTATGAAATGGATAGGACCCAAGAGCCCTCTCGTAGTATGGCCACCACGATCCCCAGATTTAACTCCACAGGATTTTTATTTATGGGAAAACTTGAAAAATATTATACAAGCGTGTAGAGAAATCACACCTAGAGAACTGAGAAGAGTTGGAGGAAATAATAGAAGGCGCATAGAAAAATGGGTTCGATTGGAGGGAAATTTCATAGAAGGCACGAAAATATAAAATTGTCAACAGTTAAATCATTTGAAATTGATTGTTTTGTTTTTTAATTGAAAAT